TTTTTGATTTTTTTTTTTTTTGTAGAGATGGAGTCTCACTCTGCTGCCCAGGCTGGTCTTGAATTCTTGGGCTCAAATGATCCTCCCTCCTTGTCCTTCTAAAATATTTTAATTGTATCTGAAACACCCTCTTCTCTCCCACTCTCCCTCCCACACTCTCATACAGTCTCTTCATGCATTGAATATGCATTTAGTGAGCACATACTAGGGCCAAGAACTGTTCAAAATGCTACTGCATATCACGACAGGGACATCCGCCCTCAGAGAGCTCCCAGTCTGGTTCAGGGAGACCAACAGTAAGCGAGAAAACGACCCAAGGTCATTTCAGAAAATGAACAATCCCGGGAAGGCCATGAGCCAGGGGACCTGTGTGGTCCTGAAAGACTGGCTGGGAAGGGGCTACAGGGACCACGGTACTCAAGGGAGGCCTCTGGGGACAGGAAGTGACACTGAGCTGAGATTGGAAGGAGCTGTGTGAGGAGGCTGGGTGGAGACAGTGGAGGAAAGCTTCAGGAAGGTGAAGCCACCTGTCCAAAGGCCCTGGGGCAGGTGAGGACTGGGCCTGCGGAGGTGGAGGAACAGTGAGGAGGCCCATGTGGCTGGGTAAGCCTTAGGAGGGGGAGAAAGAAAGGTGCGGGGTGGTACAGGGCCCCAGGGCCCTAAGAGGGAGGCCAGGTGCCTGGAGTCCTAGCCAGCAGCGACAGCGCGGGGCCACCCCCCACACCCTCACACACCCCCTCACTGGGCATCAGGGAGGAATTTAGAGTGTCCAGGAGGAATCCGGGATATTGAGGAGGTATCCTGGGTGTCAGGGAGGAATTCGGGGTGTCAGGGAATAATTTGGGGTGTTGGGGAGGAATCTGGAGTATCTGGGAGGGATCCTGGGTGTTGGGGAGAAATCCAGGGTGTCAGAGAGGGATCCTGGTGCCAGGGAGGAACTCAGGGTGTTCAGGAGGAATCTGGGGTATTGGAGAGGGATTCTGGGTGTCATGGAGGAATTTGGGGTGTTTGGGAGGAATCTAGGGTATTGATTAAGGATCCTGGGTGTCAGGGAGAAATTGAGAGAAATATGGGATGTCAGGTAGGAAGTTTGGGTATCAGGAATTTGGGGTGAGGAGGAATACGGGGTTTCAGGTACGAATCCTGGGTGTTGGGGAGGAATCCGGGGTGTCAGAGAGGAATACGGGGTGTCAGGGAGAAATCTGGGATATTGGGGAGGGATCCTGGGTGTCATGGAGAAATTCCGGGTGTCAGGAAGAAATCTGGGGTATTGGGGCGGGATCCTGGATATCAGAGAGGTATCCGAGGTGTCAGACAGAAATTCAGGGTGTTGGGAGAAATATGGGGTGTCAGGAAGTCTGAGTGTCAGAAATTTGGGGTGAGGAAGAATATAGATTTTCATTCAGGTAGGAATCCTGGGTGTTGGGGAGGAATCCAGGGTTTGGGGGAGGGGTCAGGCTGTTGGGGAGGAAGTCGGGGTGCTGAGGAGGATCTCCACAGTTGGGGAGGATCTGGACCACCAGGGAGGGGAGCTGGCGGTTGAGAAAAACCCCAACCTCCCGAGCGCGGCGCCAGGCGCCCCGGGGCCCTAAGAGGGAGGCCAGATGGCCTGGAGTCCCCGCGAGCGGAACGGGTGGAGGCCACCCCCCAAACCCCCCCACACACCGCGTCCACCTCGTGCGGTCCTCGCCCCTTCCCCACCTACCAGGGATCCACACCGCGGGGTCCTGGGGGGACGGGGCCTTCTGCGGAGGTGCCCGGGAACGCAGCGCGCTGAGGGCGCCGGCTCCACCCCGCGGCCCAAGCCCTGGGAGGAAGCGCGCCGCCCCTTCCGCGTCCCGGGTGGGTGTGGGCCGTGACGTCACGGTTTCGGAGTGCGGCCCCCGGCACCGGGAAAGTCCCCGGGGCGCCCCGCACCCAGGCCCTCTCTCCCCAGCCCGGGCGGTCACGTTCGGCAGGTATGAGCACCTGCTGTATGCAGGGCGCAGTGGGGGGAGGCCACAGGTCATCTGGGCTGGGGGCGCAGAGGAGAAAGTAACCCCAAGAGTGAGATCATCTCCGTTGGTGACCCGTGCTTTCCAGAAAACAAACGCAGCAGCTGTTTATATTTTTTATCTCTATTTTTTTTTTTTTTTGAGACGGAGTCTTGCTCTGTCGCCAGGCTGGAGGGCAGTGGTGCGATCTCAACTCACGGCAGCCTCCACCTCCCGGGTTCAAGCAATTCCCCTGCCTCAGCCTCCTGAGTAGCTGGAACTACAGGCATCAGCCACCATTCCTCGCTACTTTTTCGTGGTTAATTTTTTTTTTTTTTTTTTTTAGACAGGGTTTCATCATGTTGGTCAGGCTGGTCTTGAACTCCTGACTTCAG